GTTACGCAAAACACTTCCATAGTAGACATGTTGTGAAAAGCTAACTCTATTTCCCTTAATCCTATCCTGCCACCCCACCATTTATTCTATTCTTTCTTTTGACCCTGTCTCTTCTCAGAAGTATTTGCTTCTGATTGCCCTCTTTCCCAATCTTCCCTCCTCTCTATCATCCCTCTGCTCTCTTGTCCCTTTCCCCCTATTTTCCTGTAGGGTAAGACAAATTTCCATACCCAATTGAATGTGTATGTTATTCCCTCCTTAAGCCAAATCCTATGAGAATAAGATTCACTCATTCCCTCTCACCTTCCCCTGTTTCCCCTCCACTGTAAGAGGCTTTTCTTTTGTTTTTTTTTTTTTGTGGGATAATTTACCCAGTTCTACCTCTCCCTTTCTTCTTCTCCTACTATAATCCTCTCTCATCCTTTAATTTTATTCTCCAGATATGACCCCTTAATCTTCAACTCACCCTGTGCCCTCTATCTATCTATCTATCTATCTATCTATCTATCTATCTATCTATCTATCTATCTATCTATCTACTTACCTACCTACCTACCTATTCATCTATCTACATACATATAATTTTCCCCCTCCAACTACCCTAATACTGACAAAGGTCTCATGAGTTATAAATATCATCTTTCCATGCAGGAATGTAAACAGTTCAATCTTAATAAGTCTCTTATGATTTCTCTTTCCTGTTTACCTCTTCATGTTCCACTTGAGTCTTGTGTTTGAAAGTCAAATTTTCTATTCAGCTCTGGTCTTTTCATCAAGAATGCTTGAAAGTCCTCTATTTCACTGAATGACCATTTTTTCCCCTGAAGGATTATACTCAGTTTTGCTGGGTAGGTGATTCTTGGTTGTAATCCTATCTCCTTTGCCCTCCAGAATATTATATTCCATGCCCTGTGATCCTTTAATGTAGAAGCTGCTAAATCTTGTGTTATCCTGATTGTGTTTCCACAATACTTGAATTGTTTCTTTCTGGCAGCTTGTAATTTTCTCCTTGACCTGGGAACTCTGGAATTTGGCTACAGTATTCCTAGGAGTTTTCCTTTGGGGATCTCTTTCAGGAGGAGATCAGTGGATTCTTTCGATTTCTATTTTGCCCTGTGGTTCTAAAATATCAGGGCATTTTTCCTTGATAATTTCTTGAAAGATGATGTCTAGGCTCTTTTTTTGATCATGGCTTTCAGATAGTCAATCCAATTTTTAAATTCTCTCTCCTGGATCTATTTTCCAGGTCAGTTGTTTTTCCAATGAGATATTTCACATTGTCTTCTATTTTTTCATTCTTTTGGATTTGTTTTACAGTGTCTTGATTTCTCATAAAGTCACTAGCTTCCAATTGCTCTATTCTAATTTTTAAGGAAGTATTTTCTTCAGTAAGCTTTTGAACTTCCTTTTCCATTTGGCCAATTTTGCTTTTTAGGGCATTCTTGTCTTCATTGGCTTTTTGGACCTCTTTTGCCACTTGGGTTAAGCTATTTTTTAAAGTGTTATTTTCTTCAGTATTTTTTTGGGTCTTCTTTAGCAAGCTGTTGACTTGTTTTTCATGATTTTTTTTTTGCATCACTCTCATTCTCTTTCCAGTTTTTCCTCTACTTCTCTTACTTGCTTCTCAAAATCCCTTTTGAGCTCTTCCAAGGCCTGGGACTGATTCATATTTTTCTTGGAGGCTTTGGATGTAGGAGCTTTGACTTTGTTGTCTACTTCTGTTTGTACGTTTTGGTCTTCTTTGTCACCAAAGTAAGATAATATAGTCTGACTCTGTTTGTGCTGGTTGCTCATGATCCCAGCCAATTACTTGAGTTTTAAACTCTTTTTTTTTTTAAGGCAATTGGGGTTAAGTGACTTGCCCAGGGTCACACAGCTAGTAAGCGTCAAGTGTTTGGTCTGAGGCCGGATTTGAACTCAGGTCCTCCTGACTTCAGGGCTGGTGCTCTATCCACTGTACCACCTAGCTGCCCCTAAACTCTTTATTAAGGTAAGAGTCTGCTTCCAATGTGGAGAATGTACTGTCCCAAGCTTTGGGGGTTTATACAGCTATTTTCAGAGATACCTGTAGGGACCTATAAATTTTCAGTTCTTGCAAGGTGGTATGATAAGGGGCGAGGTGTTTACTCCTTTTCTGGCCTGTGCCCTGGTCTATTAGTGACCACAAGCACTCCTTTCTGTCCTGGAACCATGAGGAAGGTTTTCTCTCCACTGCCACTACAAGCACCACCACACCAGCACTCAGCCTCGCTCCAGGACTGCCACCCAGAACTGTGACCCAGATCCAAGCATGGGCAAAGCAAGAGATTCTTGCTTCAGCACTGGCAAAGAGATCCCTGCAATCCCCCTCTGATCAGCCACTCAATTCCCCCTCAGTCTGTGGGCCGGAAGCTCAGGATGCAGCCACTGACCTGGTGCCCGCTCTGAGCTCTGAGCTCTGCGCTCTGTGCTCTGGAACTGGCTCTGACCTCTTTCCTCTCTCACTTCAGAAACAGACTTTTCCCACTGACCTTCTAAGTTGTCTTTGTTGTTTGTGGGTTGAGAGGTCTGGAAGCTGCCACAGCTGCCCAAGATTCAGTCCTCTGAGACCTGCTCCAGGTTCACTATGGCCTGTGCACCCACGCCACACTGTGCTCCTCTACCCACCTTGCACGATACACCTTTCTGATCGATTATCCAGATTGTCTTGGGCTGGAAATTTGGTTTACTCTTTTTGTGGGTTCTGCTGCTTTAGAATTTGTTTAGAGCCATTTTTTATAGGTATTTGGAGGGTTTGGGGGGAGAGCTCAAGCAAGTCACTGCTTTCACTCCACCATCTTGGCTCCACCTTCCCTATCCTATTCTTCTGAATAAGGAATGCCCTTCCAGATCTATATTCCAAGAATAGGTCTCATCTCACCAAGGTTTTTTAATGATACTTATGCCAGTGCCAACTCTAGTCTTCCTGATCTATATCTTGCCACTGGACCCAGATGGCTCTGGAAGGGAAAGTGAGGTTGGTAACTTTGCACAGCCCTCCCTCACTTAAATCCAATTCACTTGCAAGTCATGGCATCACTTTCCTGATGTCATGGTCCTCTTTGAGAATGAAGGACCACCATCAACAACAACAACAACAATACTTATAAGGTAGTTTTGGGTAGCAGCAGCTAAGGGGAAGCAATGAATAGAATCCTGAGCTTGGAATCAGGAAAACACAAGTTCAAATCTGGCCTCAGCCAGTTCCTAGCTATGTAACCCTGAGCGCTTAACCTCTGTTTGTCTCAGTTTCCTCAACTGTAAAATGAAAATAATAGCAGTTACCTTGCAGGATTGTTGTGAGGACCAAATCAGATAATATTTGTAAAGTGCATAGCACAGTGCCTGGCACATCGTGGGTGCTATAGAAATGCTTATTTCCTCCTTCCCTTTCAGCATTAAGACTTCTACTACTTGTTGGCCATACTTTGCACATTTGTGCAATGACAACTGAGGCAATAGATTTTATTGTTGGTTCCTTCCTTGTATTTTGTCTCCTATTATTTTCTGGGTATTCTATCAATATTTTTCTTCTAATATCATAGCTCCTCTGTGTAAAATTTAGCCACTATCACCAAGTTAATTCGAGTGAACCCATGATCTCCCTTCCCCTCTTTGTAGCCATAGATGCCAGCCCTCTCATAGGGTGGCCCCAGTACAAGTCAACCACAGCCCCACGCACTTTGATCCCTTTTTAGAAAATTGAATCTACCTGGATTGTGACCTCTTCTCTTAAGATAAGACTAACCCATCCTTTCTCAGAAATATGTACCTATCAGGACTGTCTTCTCTTATTATGAAACTTGTCTTTAAAAACAGCATAAAGCTTGTGAACTCAGTGTGTTTTTGCCTTGGGTGCTACAGTAAACTCCTTTAAATTTTCTTTTCCTGGGCTTGCTTCATTATTGAGGGAAAGGCCCAAACAAAGATTTTCTTTTAATACCTCTTTATGATATTTAGCTTAGTTGTTATATGCAGACAATTTTCTACCTCTTGTCTCCTTTAAAAGTTCTCTCAATTTGACCAGGAAGGCTGCAGGCAAATACATATTTTCCAGCCCTTGTTGGGTGTATTCCATTCCTTTTCAGGAATATGTCATTACTATATTTTAAACCATGATCTAGAAATTAAAAATCTGTTCTTAGAAATAGTAACCAGCTGTTCACTTCCTAAATTTGCCATTTTCTTCTCAAGCTCCTACTTTTCATTAGTACCAATGATGAAAATACCATCTTTGACCCTAAGGTCTTTTCTTTCTTTTTTTTTGTGAACTTAATAATTATTAACAAACACACTTATTTCAATATACAAAGCAGACTAAGTGAACTGTATAGGTAACTCTTAAGCTCTGTTACATAGAGTTTGTTTTTTAGGATGCAGATAATTTTTCAATTCAATAAACATTTAATAAGCAGCACCTATTACGTGCCAGGTACTGTGCTAAACTCTTGGGATACAAATAAGAAAAAGACAGTGCCTACTTTCAAGCTTACAATCTAATGGGGGAAAATTGAGTTGAAATCAAGTAGAGCTGCAGATGGAAAATGGAGAGTCAGCTGGAAAGTCTAAATGCTGCCCTTTATAAAGAAAAGCTCTGTGTGTGTGTGTGCTGTTATGGGAATATATACATTCATCTATGAATATATAAAATTTAACAAAATTGTTCTGCTTGTATCCCTCTTAAGATATTTTTGGTTTTCTTTTGTGCATTAAAAATGTTTTATTGATGTTAGGTTTTTGGGTTTCTATCACTACCCACCAACCTATTACCCCTTTTCAGTTTCTTTGGCCAGTTTTTCAAGACTTCATAATCCTTAGTGAAGCTTTTTAGCAGTGTCATTTTTACCCACACATTTTGTCCTAAGATGTGGTACCCAGAACTGAACACAATACTCCATATAAAGGGAGTGGACAGGACTATCACCTCTTTCCTTCTGGAACTTAAAAAAAAACTCACGTGTTGCTCTACATGGTGAATCACTTAGGTTTTCATTCTCCTGACAAATAAGTTCTTTGTGTCCCCAAAATCAAACAGTTCTCAGTATTAAGATCAATCATCAACCAACCAACCAATAAACATTTGCTAAGTGCCTATTACATGCCAAAACTCTATCAGGTATCAGGGATACAAAAAGAAAAGTGCATCAGTTCCTGCCTTCAAGTAGTTTACATCCTATTGCATTCTAGGTATAATGGGGAGAGCTTCTTAGAGAAGAGAGGGAATTTGAGAATCAGCCTTAGCAATGTTATTACTCAATTCAAGTTCAATTTAGTCCATCTTTTAAACACTTGAGGCCAACGTTGCTTGTATTTTCCTTTTTTTTCCCCCTAAAGGTGTAGCTATTCTTGGCTATAGGAGGAATATATCAGAAGGAATACATGTTTGAGGAGAGCAATTGTTATTTACTTGTGTAACCCCTGTCCCAAAGCCCATTGGTTTGGGACTCTCCCTTTATTGATGGAGATGAAGGCCCTGCCCTGTGTGAGGGTCCCAGCAGTTAGTGACAGCTGAGAATCATTCTCTGCCAGTCCCCTTCTGGGTACTCTTTAAGTGACAGTCTTCTGGTGTAGTATCCAGTCATCTTCCACCTTCCAGAGAAAAGATAGAAAAGGGCAAATCTGCCTCAGGTTATTGAAGAAAACAGCTCTGGCAAGACATGAGAAGAGCAGGTAGTCTCTATCGTGTCCCTATTCCCAGCTTGCTACTCTAAAGATTTCGGAGGATGAGATCAAGGACATCCACTCTTGGTTGAGCTGAGTCATCTCTGTTTTCCTTCTGTATCATCTCATGTATATTTCCCTATGTTTACTTTTATTGAAAGTTATGCTGACTCATTGTTCACAGATCTGGTGTCAATCAGTGTTGGGGGGAGGTATTGTCCAGTTTGCTGCTTTGTATTAGCTGGTATTCATCAGATAGAAAGTCATCCCCCCAACCTGTCTGTACCTGGAAATTGTCATGAACTTGCTACCTTGGGGAGGAACTAAGATGCAGTGGAACATACCCTTTTACTGACATGGACCTTTCCAAATTGTCTTTATCTTATTACAAAAGTTACTGACAAAACTGTTAACATAATTGTTAATGTAATGAGAGAAAAATGTAATATGAACTGCCTAAACCTCTTAGCCATCATGACAATGTCCAAATTCCAGTAATATCCTTCCATTGCTACTTTTAGGACAATGAGATTAGGTTGAGCTGAACCACACCCTAGGTCCATCCACCCAGGAAGATTGCCTTGTGGGGAGCCCAGCTCAAGCTGGATGGCAACTTCTAGTCTCCTTGCCCCTTTCCATTGGGATTCTTGGCATATGAAGGACAAAACAGCCAGAATGAAGTGGCTTTCTTTGCCCAGATTGCCAACGGCCACTGGGGTCTCATGACCAGGCCTTGCTACCTCACTTATTTCCTCCTCCTTTCCTCCTAAAACTATAAAAACATTTCCATGGGTCTCTTTGGGTCACCCCCAGGGTGGCAGGGTTGCTACCCTATTATCTCAATTAAAGATGCTTTATTCTCAAAAACTCATGGTTTTGATTTCTTTCAGGACTTGGCATAAACAATAAAAACTAGCTCCATCTTGAAGCCATTGTTAATCTCCAGTCATCAGCCAGCTGATGTATTACTACCTTGACATACTTTTAATAAAGAATTCTCTTTGTCCTGAGATCCCCCTTCCCTAAAAAATGACAAAGCAATAAAAAGTTAACTTCAACTCAATCATATTCCCTAGATGGTTAATATTAAAAGGAGTATAGAGATGTATTTCTAGCCCATCCCTCCCCCCATCTCTATGAGAAAAGCAGAGTGGCCTTTCCTGCTTCCCCTCTGGCATGAATGAAAGTCTCCCTTGGAGATGGGTCAGGAAAGATGAGGCTAGAGATACCTATTCAGCCTCTCTTCAAGCCATACAATGTTAGTCCCTTCACAGCACATGGAGCCTCTACACACTTGAAGCCCACCATTCCTCACTCTCACTTTTCCCTTACACTTCTTATCTCCTAATTGCTGTATCATGGTATTTCAGTTTTATTAGCTGGGCTGGGCTCTGGTGCCCAGTGAATCATGATGTGATTATTTGGTTACTATCTTTTTAAGTCAATCCTTTTATCAATCCTGTGCTCCAGCTAAGAAAGTCCTGGTTCAACAAACATCCCATCCCCACCCCCTTCCATGCCTTCACTGAGTGCTAGATCACTTCGAGGACCCTTTCAACTCTAGATCCATTATCCTATCTATGGTCTTTGTGTCTCAGAATCTATGCAATCCTTCCAGGCTCAGCTTTGGTTACATTTCTTCAATGAAAGGTTGATCACTGATTCCCCACCCTTGACCCCTCAGCCTCTCTCCCTCTTCAAATCACCTGGTAATATACTTCTCTGGATATATGTTATACTTATAGTCTATCTCCTCCTCCCAGAAAGTCAACTCCTAGAAGGTGCATTGTTATGCTTTTGCCTTTGTATGCCCATAATAGGCCTTAATAAGAGTTGGCAGAATTTGAATAATTTGAATTTGAAATTCAGTTTTTTTTAATGTGATAATCATGCCATAGTCTATGCTTATCTCAATTTTAGGTCAATGTTGGAAGCAATGTAGTATAGTGGAAAGAGACCTGGATTTGAAATCAAAAGACCTAGCTTTCAATCTGACTACTTCCTGTGAGTGTGGGCACTGAGAGGCAGCTAGGTCACACAGTGGATAGAGTACTGGATTTGGAATCAGAAAGATCCAAGTTCAAATTCTGTCTCAGATACTTGCTAGCTGTGTGGCCCTGGGCAAATCACTTTACCTCTTAGCCTCAGTTTCTTCATCTATACAGGGTTGTTATGAGGCTCAACTAAGATAATATACATAAAGCACTTTGCAAACCTTCAAGTGATAAATAAATAGCTATAGGGCAAATCACTTTACCTCTAGGTCTCAGTTTCCTCCTCAGTAAAATGAAAGAAGGTTGGACTAGATATTCTTTTACCTTCCACCTCTGGGATTCTGTGGGACTAATTGTGACATTTTCTTTAGTGGGCAAATTTTGGTTCCCTGTGGGTCATCCCTTACCTGTCCAGAGCCCCAAAGAAGATGGCTTGGCTGACCTAGACTCTAAGGGAGTAGTTCTCAAAACATTTTGGACCCAGGACCCCTTTATGAGAACCCAAAAAACCTTTTGTTTATGTGGGTTCTCTCTACTGATATTTACTATATCAGAAATTAAAACCTTTTAATATTATGAAAATAATGTTGACCTCATAGTCCCCCTTAAAAGGGTTTCAGGAACCCTCAGTGTCCCCAGAACACACTTTGACAACCACTACTCTAAGATAACATGACTTCCCTGACTGTACTCTAATAGAGATAAAGGGCTGTGAGTCTAACTTTGAACCCTGGCCTCTAAGATATCAGAGCTTTAAATCAGTACTGTCCCTTATCTGTCCTAATTAAAAGGATCATTTTGATGGCAGCTTAATTGGACAATAGCAAAGTCATAGAAATTCGATAGCTTATTTCATAAAAGGGAAATATTAACTTGTTTTAGGCAATCATTCAATGAGGAAACTCTTAGGGAGCAGGGGCTAACTTTCCCAAATTTTGCAGATCCCAAACCCTAATGCATGTCTTTTTAATTAAGGAATTTGTTGGAAGTGCAAAATTACGAAGCAGGTTTTGATTTTGGATTTGAAGACAAAGAAGTCTCCCCTTGGCAAATTAGTATTTGTTTATTTTTCCAATCTTGTGATAGTTTAGGATTTTGGCCCTCTCTTTAGAGGAATTGGTAGCTCTCTTCCAATGCAGCAACACTCCTCCTCCCTGCATGGAAGGGGCCATTCCACTTCTATTTGATGCATTTAGATCAAACAAGTGCCTACTATGTGCAGAACCCTTTCTCTCCCTCCTCATCTCTGCCTCCTGGATTCCTTCAAAATCTTACCTTCTACAAGCCTTTCCTAGTCCCCCTCAATTCTAGTGCCTTTCTTCTTGATTATTTCCAATTTATCCTGCCTATAGCTTGACTGTACATATTTATCTGCATGTTGCTGAAAAAGTGTAGATAAGACTCATGGTACAGTGGAAAGAGTGCTGGATTTGGAGTCAGAGTACCTGGATTCATATCCTACCTCTCCTACTTACTGTGTGACCTTAGCCAGGTGACTTAACCTCTCTGGGTCTCAGTTTCCTCATCTGTAGAAGGATAGGTTTGGACTAGATCAGAGCTATCAATCTCCGGAACTCCCGGGGTCCCCAGAATACACTTTGACAACCATTGCTCCAAGGTCTGCACTCTAGTGAAAATGAGTGTTGTATAGGAACCAGGCTAAAATGTAATTGGGAAAGAATTAACAAAATAAAAATACAATAGAACATAGATAATGCTAATAGGTGGTTTTCTAAGTCCTTATGTGAACCACAGAGATTCATATTTATACTTCAGAGGCCTCGGTTTCTATTTGTGTTTGACACCCTAGCACTAGATGACTTCTAAGATCCTTTCAAACTCTAAATCTATGATCCTGGGACTTAGTCCCTGCCTTCCTGTAGCTCATAAGGGGATGAGATACAGACAGAGAGATAACCATAAATGATAACATTACATGAAAAATACATTAGAGAAACAGACTAAGAGCTTAGACCTCAGAAGCTGAAGGGGCAGCTCATTAGTGATAGGTTCTTGTTCAGTTGTGTCTAACTCTTCATGTCCTACTCTCTGTGACCCCATTTGGGGTTTTCTTGGCAAAGATACTGATGTGGTTTGCCATTTCCTTCTACCAGCTCATTTTACATGAGAAAACTGGGGCAAACTGGGTTAAGTGACTTGCCCAGGGTCATACAGTTACTAAGTGTCTGAGGCTGGAATTGAATTCAGATCTTCCTGACTCCAGGTCTGGTGCTCTATCCACTGCATCACCTAGCTACCCTCATTAGTGACAGGACTGGAGACTAAAGGAAAACTTCACAAAGGAGTTGGGATTTGAGCTGCACTTAAAGGCTGGATAAAAAAAAATCAATCAGTAAAGAGGCAAAGGAAACAGTTTGGTCAAAGGCACAAGGGTGGGAAAGAATACCATGTGATGAAGGGACAATTTGGCAGTGGCTTAGAGTGTGGAGAGAAGTAAAAATTAGAAAGTGGAAAGAGTGGGCATATGTAGGAGGTACACATACAAACATTGAAGGGTCAATTGATACCAGATTGTAGAAGGCCTTGAATGTCAGATCAAGGAGTTTGAACTCTCCTTGGTAAAGAATAGTGAGGCACCAAAGATTTTTGAGCAAAGGAATGCATAAAGAAAGAAGAGGAGAAGTGAACAGAAGCAGAAAGAATCGCTAGGAAGTTCATCGCTAGTAAGAGTCCAGGGCAGCAAAAATAAAAGTCTGAGTTCCAGTGGAAGCAAGAGAAGAAAGAATAGATTAGAAAGATATTACCCATGTGGAATTAATAGGAAACAATAGCAATAATAGTATCCAACATTATATAGCACTTATGATGTGCCAGGCACTGTGTTAAGCATTTTATAATTATTATCTCATTTGATCCTCATAACAACCCTGGGAGGTAGGTGCCATTATTATAATTGTTTTTACAGATGAGGAAACTAAGGCAAATTGAGGTTAAGCATCTTGCCCAGGGTGGCTGGTGAGGTATGAAAATTGGGGAAGAGGAAAAAGCTTTTTCAATATGGGAGGCTAGGTGAATGGTTGTGCCACAAGCAGAAATAATGAAATCAGAGGAATAATTTTTTGAGGAAAAATAATAAGCATGGTTTGGGCTATGCTGAGTATGAGCCAGAACATTCTCCTCAGACACTAGTCATTCAGAAGGATTTGCTCACAGGTATGAAAAATTGGCAATACTGAAAAACCTACTGGCTGCAGCTTTGCTCTGAAGCTTTTCACCTTCTTTTAAGCGTAGCGTCTGGGCACACCCACAAATTTTTGCAGAGCTGGCCTCCCAGGAGACGGCTACCCCAGGTTCAAAGTATTCTGTAGGTCCACATCCTATAAAAACATAACTCACAAGCCCCCATAAACGCATTTGCCTTTGTTGCTGTTGTTATTCGTCCTTCATTCTCAAAGAGGACCAACAGCATCAGGAGGGTGATGTCTTGACTTGCAAGTGAATTGGGTTTTAGTGAGGCAGGGCTGTGCAAAGTCATCAGCCTCACACTCTCCTCCAGAGTCATCAAAGTCCAGTGGCAAGTCAGGATGACTGGTGATGACCCACATTTACCTTTAATAGTGAGCTAGGAGCCACAATTAGCTTAAAACAACCGTATTTCATGAAATATTATACTAAGAAACACAGCAACAAAACATTTCTTGCACAGATCTAGAGCATGTTCTCCAGCATCAGTGGGAAGAGTAGGCATATACAGGAGGTACATATACAAACATCAGGAACATATGGCTAAGGCACATATATGGAAGGAAAACTCCAATAACGCTGATGTCTTCTACAGATGTTACTGCTCTGTTCCAGCTGGGTCTGCTCCCTTTGTCTCTGTATTAGATGGGTCTTCTTCCCATCAGTCTTAGAGTCTGTGCAGGATACTGCTTGGCCAGATACTGCTTTGCTGGATGGATAGCATCTACTGAATGCCTTTAGGCTGTAGTCTCTGCCACCTCCAGATTCTGGCTCAGATGAAATCTTTGGATGTGTCTTTGTAATGGGAGTCTGACACATGCACAGAGTGCCTTTGATGCTACTGACCATATGGGAGAGGCTGGGAAACTGGCTTCTAGGAGACTCATATAATGGAAGTACCATGGAGAGACTTTGCAACCTGGTTCCAGGACACTAACCCCATGGTGATTGACAGCTTCTGAAATGGTTGCAGATTTAGAACTGCGAGAGATGTCAGAAGCACTAGCCCACCAGAGCTTCAGCTATTCTTTCAGTTACTTACACTTGGTTTGATTCCTTGCTGGTGTGTTAACACAACGTTATATTGGCCTTCTCCCCTCTGAGGTCAACATGTGGCCCTCATGAAATGCAGTACAGTCCTTTGCTTCTGCATTTGTTCTTTTCCATTAAAGTTGAATGGATTAGAAACTATGACCCTATCAGTTTCAAAAGGTCAGGAGAATGAGCTTCCTGGATTCTAGGAGCTACCTAAAGTCTGAGATTCGAGGAGTCTACATCCATGCTAGTTTTTTCAGCCAGCCTAGCATCAATGCCAAAAGACATTCTTCTGAACCCAGTCCAGTAGTGATTGAGATGAGGACTCATCCAGCAGTCATGTAGTATCTGGATGTGAACTTGGTGTGACCAATGCTATGGATGGACTGTGCTAATTCTGAACCCACTCTCTCCCAAAGACTGAGGTAGTATAGCAGATAGAATGTCCCTGAGCTATTGAGAGAAAATATATGTACTTTTGTTATTGGCATATCTTTGAAGTTAACATTTCCTAAGCATGTTAATGTTAAGTGGTTAAATGAAACTGAGGACAGCTACTGGAACCTAACAGAAGTGGGGGAGAACACAACTAGCTCTCATTGATGTTTTAGAGAAGAGACACACTCCCAACCCCTCAGGGTACCCCTTGAATTCTCAGTGTCAGGTGTAACAGGCCCCTGGAAGAGTAAGACTAGAGAGATACTTTATCTTCCTAATGGAAGAGCTGGCATTGCAATGTTTTCTCTGCTTAAAGTCTATGCTATACACAATGAATTGGAGTGGGGATGAGAACAATTGAGACAATCAACAAGTGTTTCTTGAAGGAAATGACACTGAATTCATCCTTGAGGGAAGCTAGTGGGTCCAAAAGCTGATGCTGAGGAATAAGAGGTTTCTAGGCATGAGGGATACTATGCAAAAGCATGAAGGTGGGAGATGGAATGTCATGTGTAGTGAACAGCAAATAAGTCAGTTTGGCTAGAATGGAGAATGTGTGAAGGGGAGTCATCAGCCTGGAAAGACAAGATTGGTGTCAGATTGTGATGGGTTTAAATGCCAGATAGGTGTTGGTATTCTATTTATAAAACAGTGGGGAAATACTCAAGCTACTCAGGGGGCAGCTAGGTAATGCAGTGGATAGAGCTCTGGCCTTGGAGTCAGGAGGATCTGAGTTCAAATCCAGTCTCAGACACTTGACAATTACTAGCTGTGTAACCTTGGGCAAGTCACTTAATCCCAATTGCCTCACCAAAAAAAAAAAGCAAAAAAAAAAAAGATTCAAGCTACTTTAGCAGGGGAGGAAGAATATCAATTTGACAGCTATATGGAAGATGGATTAAAAAGGGGAGGGACTAGATAAAGGAGGACCAATTTGGAATGAAAGAATAAATGAAGAAAGCATTAATCACTGTGTATAAGGCACTGTGCTAATTGCTGGGGATAAAAATAGAAAAATATGACAGAGTCTGCTTTCAAGGAGTTCACATTCTAATGAGAAAACACATATGGAAGAGTTCAGCTGCAAGTTACAAAGAAAAGTCCCATAGTCCTTAGAAGGCAGCAGCAAAGCAGATGACAATGCCTTTTCTTTAATGCAATTTCCATTGATGTTCACTGCCAAGGATTTTGGTGGCAAGAACTTTCTAAATGATCAGTAGCCATGGCTTTAGCAGCTGCAGGTGCAGTTGTCAGGTTGTATCTCCTCAGGGGTTCCTTCCCAGGATGATGGCCAAGATGGTGGATGGGGTACTTTGACTTACCTGGCACATACTGCGTCATGTCTCTCCCTCAGGGTGCCTTGTAATCTAGGTTGGCTTGCCTTCCCTGTGGGCAACACATGGTTAGCAATTCGTAGGGATGGCTGGCCCTTTCTCCACAAGAATTGCTTCTTCAGTGAAAGAATGCAAAACATAATTTCATATTAGTCATATCACAAAAAAAGCAAAAAAATTAAAGAAAGTGAAAAATTATACTTCGATTTGCACTGAGTTTATCAGTTCTCTCTCTGGGGATGGATAGCACTTTTTCATCACAAGTCCTTTGGAATTGTCTTGGATCATTTTATTGATCAGAGTAGTCAAGTTTTTCACACAATCATCATTACTACATTGTTGTTACAGTGCACAATGATCTCCCAGCTCTTCTCACTTCAGTCTGCAACAGTTCACATACTGTCTTGTCATTTTTTTTTTTTGCTGAAACCAACCCCCGTTTTCATTTCTTATTGCACAATAGTACTCCATCACAATCATATGCTACAACTTGTTCAGCCATTCCCTAAGAAAGATCATCCCTCAATTTCAAATTCTTTGACACCACAAAAAGACCTGCTTTAAATATTTGTACATATAGGTCCTTTTCCTTTTTCTTTGATCTCTTTGGAGTACAGACCTAGTAGGGGTATTGCTGGATCAAAAAGTATGAAGTTTTATAACCCTTTGAATATAGTTCCAGATTGCTGTTCAGAATGACTGGACCAGTTCACTATTCCACCAAGAGTTCATTAATATACCTATTTCCCTCACCCCCTCCAGCATTTGTCATTTCTGATAGGTGTGAAGTGGTACCCCAGAGTTATTTTAACTTGCCTTTCTTTAATCAAGTGATTTAGAGCACATTTTTATATGATTATAGATAGCCTTGATTTCTTCTTTTGAAAACTGCCTGTTCATATCCTTTGACCATTTATCAACTGGGGAATGGTTCTTATTTTTATAAATTTGACTCAGTTACCTATATATTTGAGAAATGAGGTCTTTATCAGAGAACTTGCTATAAAATTTTTTCTATTACTTCACTGTCTATGGTCCTTTCAGCAAAATGTTGTTTCCCTGACTATCTCTTTCAATTAGGTCAAATTTTGCCTTTTCTTTGAGATCATAATTGCCACCCCTGCCTTCTTCACTTCAGCTGAAACGTAACTTTGTGTGTATAATTCTGTTCCAAGTGTGTCTCTTGTACACATCTTGTTGGATTCTGGTTCCCAATCCATTTTGCTATCTGCTTCTGGTCTATAGGTTCGTTCATTCCACTCACATTCACAAATATAATCATTAGCTATGGTATTTCCTTCCATCCCATTTTCCTGTTTATTTCTCTCTCTCTCTTTTTATCCTGTCTCTCCTCAAAAGTCTGTCTTGCTTCTCACCACTGTCTCCCCCAATCCACCCTCTCCCTTATTATCTTTCCCCATTTCTCTTAACCCCTTCCCTTCTTATGTCCCTATTGAGGAAGACAGATTTTTATACCAAATTAAGTGTGTATGTGTATATATATATGCATACATACATACATACATACATACATACATACACACATACATACACACACACACATAAATATCTTTTCTTCTTTGAACCAATTCTGATATGACTAATATGAAAGTGGGGATCGAGCCTACCCTACCCCATTTCCCCCTCCATTACAAAGCCTCTTCTTTATGCACATCCTTTATGTGAGAAAATTAGTCCAATTTTACGTCTCACTTCTGTCTCCCAGGGAATACCTCTTTCACACCCCTACATTCTTTTTTTTTGGAGAGCATCCCAACAAAATCAACTCACATTTGTGCCCTCTGTCTATTCAGACTCTTCTTAACTTCCTTAATAATGATAAAGTTCTTAGGAGTTACATGTATCATCTTCCCATATAGAAATGTAAACAGTTTAATTCCATTGTGTTCCTTATGATTACTCTTTCATACTTCTCTTTAGTCTTGTGTTTGAATGTCATATTTTCTATTCAGCTCTGGTCTTTTCATCAGGAATGCTTTAAAGTCCTTATTTCCCCCCCTGAAGAATTATAGTCAGTTTCACTGGGTAGGTTATTCTTGATTGTGATCCTAGATCCTTTACCGTCTGGAATATCATATTTCAAAGCCTCCACTCCTTTAATGTGGAAGCCACTAAATCTTGTATGATCCTAACCATGGCTCTACAATATTTGAATTGATTTTTTTTTCTGCTTGCAATATTTTCTCCTTGACCTGGGAGCTCTGAAATTTTAATTCCTGGGAAATAATATTCCTGGGAATCTTCATTTGGGGATCTCTTTCAGGAGGTGATGGGTGGATTCTTTCAATTTCTAATTTACCCTCTGGTTCTAGAAAATCATAATTGATAATTTCTTGAAAGATCATGTCTAGGCTCTTTTTTTGATCATGGCTTTCTGGTAGTCCAATAATTCTTAAATTATCTCTCTTTGATCTATTTTCCAGATGAGTTGTTTTTCCAGTGAGATATTTCACATTTTCTTCTATTTTTTTTCATTCTTTTGACTTGGTTTTATTATTTCTTCAAGTCTCATTGAGTCATTAGCTTCCACTTATCCAATTCTAATTTTTAAGGAATTATTTCCTTCCACAAGCTTTTGTAGCTCTTTTCCATTTGGCCAGTTTGCTTTTTAAAGAGTTCTTTTGTATTGATTGTGAGACATGGGAGACACTGTCAATGGGACCATCCAGCATGGCATGTCCTAATCAAAGAAAGTGCTGTGCTCTGTGAGCAAAGCAGTATTACAGTAGGTCAAAAGAAATGCAAGATGAGCAAATTTAGAGACATCTCTCTCCCAAATGTTCATGGTGACTATTTGTGTCCAAACCATAGGAGAGCCTTCCAAGCTCATACTGTTTCTGATTAGCCACAGTTGGATACACTGTGCATCGATCTTGACATTGTTATGTCATTTTGGTCCTCTTCAAGTATGAAGGACAACAACAACAACAGTAAGTCACTTCCCCAATCTAATGAAACTTTTTTTTTAAGGAATTTGGGGTTAAGTGACTTGCCCAGGGTCGTACAGCTAGTGTCAAGTGTTTGGTCTGAGGCGGGATCTGACGTCAGGGCCAGTGCTTTATCTTCTACACCACCTAGCTGCCCACTTCCCCAATCTAAGTCACAATTTCCTATAAAGTGGGAGATAATAATACTTACAGCATTATGAAGATCAAATGAGAATATATAAAGAGGACTTTGTAATCCCTGAAGCTTTCAATAGAATGGAAGCAGTCACTGCCTGTGTGACCTTGGCCTTGTCATGTTAGTTCCCTGGGTCTTGGTTTCCTCATGGCCTCTGAAGTCCCTTCTACATCTAGATCTATGATAGAAAGAAAACAGGAAAGAAAGAAGGAAGCAAGGAAGGAAGGAAGGAGGAAATCAGCATTTATTAAGCACTGTACCAGTGCCAGGCACTGTGCTAGGCATTTTAAAAATATTATTTCACTTGATCCTCACAACAACCCTGGGAGGTAGATACTATTATTATCCTCATTTGTAAAATGGAGAAACTAAGGCTGAGAGAAGGTAAGGGCCTTGCCTAGGGTCACACAGCTTGTAAGCTTCTGACACAAGATTCAAACTTAGGTCTTCTTGACTCCAAGTCCAATACTCTAAACTCTTCTGATTTTCTGGTTTGTCTCCACACACCTCCCACCCTATCTGCTACACCTAACCTTTAGTTGTCTACTTCATTCTAACTGCTATTGACTAAATTAAATGAAAATGAATTAATTGGACAAACATTTATTAAGTATCTACCATGGGTAAGGCCCTGTGCTAGGTGCTAGGGATACAAAGCTAGGTACGAGATAGAGCCTGTACTCAAAGAGCTGCAATGTAATGGTGGTAGAAGAGAAATGAGATCAGTGCAAAGGAAAGATCCAGATAAAATGCTGTCAGAAACTTGAGGAGGAAGGAATCACATTAAGCGGCAAGAGGAGAAGCTCTAAAGAAAGCTTCTCTAAGGAAGTGATATTTGAATTTGTCCATGAAAGAGGGAGAGACTTCAACAGATGGAGATAGTAAATGAAAATGAGAATGGAGAGTACAATTAAGGCATAGAGGATGACAGGAACAAATGCAAAAAAACGGGAGAAGGCAGAGCAACAATGAGGGATGGAGAGGGGTCCAGTTCATCTGCAATGCCGAGGCCAGGGGGAACAGCATGAGGAAAGGCCAGAGAGATCAGTTGGAGTCAGACTGTGAAAGGCCTTGAATGCTAAGATCAAAGTAAACACTTATGTATCATTCTTTCACTTTCCTTGATTCAGGCAATAGGTCCCCCAAAGAACAGAAAATATTAGAGTTGGAAAAGGACTTCGATATCATTACAGTAGAATGAAAGCTCTTTGAAGGTGGGGACTGTGTCATTTTGCATAGCACAGCATACTACACAGAGCAGGAACTTAAAATGTATCTAGTCCAATGCCCTCATTGACAGAGAAGGAGCCTGAGGTCCAGTTATCTGTTTCATTTAGCTTTTGTTCTCCGGTTTTCTGCCTATTCTCTCATTCCTGCGGTTCTCTTCTCACGTAACACCTTAGGGTTTTTGTTAGTTATGACAAGGGCTACACCTCAGCGGTATGTGAGGAGAGAACTGCACCCTGGTCAACTGTGCTTGCTATAGACTTTCCCAATTGACCAGAGGATCAGAAAGTCTCCCTGCTGGCCTTCATTCTAGCTTTCACCTGCCCAGAGTAATAGCTGCTGTCTTTATCTTTATCTCTTGTTTACAAATAAAGCTGAGGAAAGCAAAGCAGGCCAGAGGCAGCACAAACATTGGGGAGATCTATTCCCATTATTTCCTATAAGGTGGGGCCACGTCAAATTCCAGTGGAAAATCCAAAGTACAAAGGTTCACATTTGATTATTTCTTTTGAGTCTTAACTCTTACCTCCAGTCATTGCTATTTGAACTGTCACTGGACTATCACCAAAACGTCTTCATTCAGCAGCTGACTACCTGGGACACCTTTCTTTGGGCCCTCCATTTGGCACTCTTCCAGGAAAACTACAAAGGTCCATGGCTCTGCTCTGATGCATTGATGGAGAGTTTCAAGCCACAAAGCTTCTCTTCCATGATTAACCTCAGCAAGCTTCATAGGGAAAGTGGTATTTTAAAAACTCTGACTGCCCCTGTAAAATGACCTGTCACTCCTCTGACCTTCCAGAGCTTTCATCCCTTATGGCACTAAGCACTAAGTGAAATAATATTTGTAAAATGCCTAGCACAGTGCCTGGCTGCCCTGGGTTAGAGTTCTGCTGGGCATACCTTATCTTCGTAACCCAGCTTTTGAGTAAGCCTAGAGTGCATGAAGTGGAACCCGATGCCTCCCAACCGCGTGGGTGAGGTAGCCTCCTCTGATTGGCTGCCTTGGTCTTTAAAATCTTGGCGAGCCTCTGCTGGTTGCTCTCTTTCTGCCATATTCCCTGCCAGTACTTTAATGCTGTGCCTGGAACCAGTGAACTGCCTTGGAAAATCTCCCTTTTACCCATGCCCCTCTCCCCTCATTATGAGAAATGAGCCTGGGGATATTCGTTTCTGCTTTGTGTTATTTGTCTTCAGTTTCTGCCTGAAGGTGAACACAACAGCAAAGAGGAGAGCCCAAGGACCTTGGAAAAGAAGGTGAACAGCGCAGGCGCACTACTTTTGAAGGCACTGACAGCCAATCAAGGAGACTACCCTTCCCCCACCACACACACACACACACACACACACACACACACACACACACACACACACACACACAGAGAGAGAGAGAGAGAGAGAGAGAGAGAGAGAGAGAGAGAGATGCTTCATGGTAGACCAACTGAGCATGCCCAAAGAAGACAGCCGTTCAGTTCAGTCAATAGGCCTTCTTGTCTTCTGGGCTTCCTCTGTTCAGCTGCTTCCTGCTCAGGAAGAAGCCTCTGCGAGGGACAGCTACAGGTCTTTTAGTGCATAGCTGAGGTCTCTGAGCCATTCCACTCAGCTGGGCAACCAGCAAAAGCTACCAGAAGACCCAGGGGAAGATTGTTGTTTTGTCTCTCCCTCTCTAATGGTGCCAGATCAGGTCCTGAGCCAAGCCAACTATTTGACTTGAAGTTATAAAATCCCTTTAAACTCCTCTTAAGCCGTAGTTGTCAATCAGAATCACCAAAACACCTTGGAGGACTCTACCCCAACAGAACCCCACAGGACCTGTTTTGGGATTGAGGTGACAAGACTTCCCACAGCTCCCATGTTTCTTCCTATTGGCATTAAACATAAACCTAGGGATATGAACCAAAGGGCTAGGTGAAGTTGGCATGCGCCAATTTTTGTTTTATATTCATATTTTTCAGCAACAAAATCTGGTTATTTGGCATTCTCTATATACCTACTCTGGGCAAGGCACTGTGCTAGACACTGAGTATATAAAACCAAAAATGAATAGCCCTTGCCCTCAAAGAGGGCATTCTTTTGGGAGAATATAGTCTCTACACAGCACAGTCTCTACACAGCTAAGTATAATAGAACTAGAACCAATGTTAGTGAAGAGTGTAACAGATGACAGAGAGAAAGCATCACTGTTCAATTTATTGTTCTATAGTCCTCTGGAGTTATTATCATGTTTCTATTTTCTCTGCTGAGGAGAAATGATCTTTGGATTAGAAAAGACAACAAAATGTTTACTAAGCACCTGATGTACAAAATAAGTGGGAAGATAGCAGAAAGTACCTAATTGCCTTTGATTTCAAGGCAGCAGGCCAGGAGGCAGCTAAGTGTTGGAGTCAGGAAGTCCAAGTTCAGCAGTCTCAGCAGGCTAGAAGCACGTAACTTGGAATCAGAAAGTTCAAATCCTGCCTCATATACTCCTGTGCTGTGTGACCCTGGGCAATTCCCTTAATCTTTCTCAGCCTTTCTGTAAAATGGGGATATTAATAGCACCTCCCTCTCAGGGTTGTTGTAAAGATCAGCTGAGATACCATTTGTAAAGTGCTTTGAAAAACTTACATCTCCATACACATGCTACTCATTATTATTATTATTGCAAGGTACTGTAAGACCAAAGAAAATGGGAGGCTTGCTGTGAGAATAGAGAAGGGCAAATGCTACACTGATTTTATGAATAGAGTAGACTCTGTAAGCTATAGGCTGGAGAACTTGACTTCAGACCAAAACTTGTGTTTTCATCAGACTTTTCCTACTCTTTCAAGGGAGAAAACAGTTCACCATTTGGGGTAGAGGAAGTAGGAACACATGTGAACAGTGTGGCACAAAATTTAAAAATGTTACCCTCTGAAATGTAGATATGCATATGCCTCTTCCCTGCCAAGTGTGGTTTGTGACTGGGTTAAGACCAGAGTGCTTTCAGAAAGAGACTTGAAGAGCCTTCCTAAAATGAGGACAATCCTTTAAAAGCTACCTGCCATAAGAAAGTGAATCATAGAATGAGAATCACAGAATTTGAGAGTTTGAAGGGCCCTTGGTGCCTATCTAGTCTAATCCATACGTGGAAGAAATACCACAACTCTAACTAACATATCTGACAAGTGGTGGCCCAAACTCTGAAGACTTTCAAGGAAAGAGAAGTCATTCTCTGTCTCTCTGTCTCTCTCTCTTTTTTTAGTGAGGCAGTCAGGGCTAAGTGACTTGCCCAGGGTCACACAGCTAGCAAGTGTCAGGTGTCTGAGACCAGATTTGAACTCAGGTCCTCCTCCCTCCAGAGCAGATACTCTATCCACTATGCCACCTAGATGCTCCAAAGCCATTGTCTCTTAAGGCAACCCATTCCACTTCTGGACAGCTCTAATTGTTAGGGCAATTAGGTGGTGCAGTGGTAGAGCACTAGGCCTAGAGTCAGGAAGATCTGAGTTCAAATCTGGTTTCAGACACTAGCTGTGTGACCCTGGCCAAGCTACTTAACCCCGTTTGTCTCAGTTCCTCATCTGTAAAATGAGGACATAGTGGAGAAGGAAATGGTAAACCACTCCGGTATCTTTGCTAAGAAAACCACACAGAGTTGGACAGGACTGAAGAACAATTGTTAGGTTGTTTTTCTTCACACCAAGTCTAAATTGGCCTCTTTGCAACTTACATCCATTTCTCCTGGCTCTGCCCTATAGGACCGGAAAGAACAAGTGACAACCCTTCAAGTGAGGAAGACAGCTTTATGGATCTTCTCATCTTCTCTTGTTCAGACTGAACATGCTTAGTTCTTTCAAATGATCCTCAAATGACACGGAATCAAGGCCCTGGCTACCCTCCTTTGGATACTTTCTAGCTTATCAATGTCCTTCATAAACTGTCAACTAGAGCTCAAATGAGTATTCCAGATGAGGCATAATGAAAGTAGGAAATAGTGGAACTATCACCTCCCTACTGCTAGAACCCCTGCCTCTTTTAATACAGCCAAGCATTAAATTCACTTTTTTTGACTGCCACATCACACTGCTGCCTTATATTGAGCTGTGGTTCACTACTGTGTCAGACAACCTCCTGTCTAATCATAGGTTACCCAGTCTTATACTTGTGAAGTTGGTTTCTTTCACCCAAATGTAATATTTAACAATCATCTCTATTGCATTTTATCTTATCAGTTTATTCCAGTGTTCTAATTTGTCAAGATCTTTCAAGATCTCTGCTTTCTCATCCTATCCTCCTCCCAGCTTTGTGTCAAAGTGCTTTAATGGTAGAAAGCTTTGGTGAATCATAGAAGCATAGATGTAAAGCTGCAAGCTAGCAAGTATCTTGGGCAGGCTCCAAGGCTATCTAGTTCAACCCTCTGCTTTTACAAGTGAGGAAACTAAAACCCAAGGAGTTTAAGTGGTTTACCCACCTCGTATGCATCAGAGGCAGGATTTGAACCTAGGTCCCCTGACTCCAGAATTAGTGCTCTTTCCACTATTCCACAATGGTGAAAAAGGAAAGCTCAACAATAAGAATTTGTCTTGCATTCTCCCAGCATTGAGCAAGCAAGAGAGATGGCATATCTGGCAGATATCAGGATCTTGTCATTACAAGGTGTGGCCTGCGGTCAGATTCACAAGTACCTAATTTTGCTCTTTAAGCAAGAATACAAAATTATACCTCTATGTATAATAGCACAAGGTACTTTGGATAGTGGATATATATTTTTATGGATTTTTCATTGAGCAACTTTGGGCACATTCATATTTCATATAATTTTCTCTGCTTTGGGTGCCCAAGGCAAGCACTTCATTTGCCTTACCCTCGTTATGGCACTGACTATGTTGGAACAAGTATTCCACTCCAGGCTCTACCATAGCTTGCATGAAACCATCTAATGACCTTGTATTGACTCACCAAGCAACCTTCTGATGACTAATATGATTTCCCAAATTACCTTGATACCAAGAAGAGGAAAACTTGGAAAGTGGTTATGAGCATCTGGTCATTGGAATATAGCATAATAGAAATATCATAGAATCATAAATCTAAAGTGGGGAGAGACCTGAAACACCAAATCTATTCTCCTATCTATGCACATGGATGGCTCCATGGACAGAGTGTTGGACATGGAGTCAGGAAGGCCTCAGTTTAAATCCTGCCCAGGATACTTGCTAGCTGTGTGACTCTCTCAAGCCTCAGTGTTCTCATTAGTAAAAAGGGGATAATAATAACCCCTACCTCCCAGGATTTTTATGAAGACAACAAGTGTAAAGAAGTGCTAAATAAAAGCTAGCTACTGCTATTGTCCACCATGTCTGGGGTGCTCTCTTTCCTCATCTCCTTCTCCTGGCTTCTCTGGCTTCCTTCAAATCCCACCAAAAATCTCACCTTCTCAAAGAAGCCTTTCCTAATTCCCTTTAAGGCTAATTTCTTCCCTCTGTTGATTATCTCCAATTTATCCTGTATCTATCTTGTTTGTACATGGTTGTTCACATCTTTTCTTCCCCGTTAGACTATGAACTCCCTGAGAATAGAGACTGTCTTTTGACTTCATTTGTATCCTCAGCTCTTAGCACCATGCCTGGAGCAAAGTTAAGAGCTTAATAAATATTTGTTGACTTGTGGATGAGTAAACTGAGGCTAAAGTGGCTAAATGACTTACTCAAGGTCATACAGGCAGAGTTAGAAGCAGAATTTGATCCCAAGATTTCAACTCCAGTTAGTGATGTTTCTACTATGTATCTGGTATTGCAATGACATCTAGGCTCAGACTCAAGGGGTTGTCATAAGGACCTCATAGGATTTTGAGTTGGGAGGGCCCTTAGAGATTACCTAGATTTACCACATCATTTTTCTATTTCTAGAAACTGAAGCTCAAACCTAGGAAGGGATATAAAGTGGCAGAGACAGGATTCCAACCCCGGTCCTTGGAATCCAAATTCAGGGCTCTCCCGATACATTGCTTTGCCTTTGTAAAGTAATGCATTGGCGTTGGTATTTGTTCCTTGTGAATCAGTATGTTCCTCAGAGCCCAATCACTCCTGGGTAAGATGACAAAACCAGGTTTCTGAATACAGAGACAAAAAGATCTTTGACAGATAAATGGTGACCTTATCAAGAAACAAGTACCCCATAAGGCCAAACCTGATGAGCTGACCACCCAATGCTCTCTTCTTTTATTTTTAACAATAATTTATGTGATTAACTTTAAACATCAAAAAAAACCTAAAAGCTTTACAATTTTAACATTGGAAATGTCCTTAATAACCACCTTAGTTAGTTCCATCATTATTTTTGTCAATCTTTCCTACATCTTTTTAAAAACAATTTTTTTGAACCAGTGGTGTTTTATCTTATCAGTCCTGATGGGCAGCAAGAAATATATTTTAAAACCATAATCCAAATGCCCACCACTTCAAAAGCCATTTGTTCCTCCTCCATGTCCTCATACCCGCCTCAAATGATTTATTAAGTTGTTCTCCATCAAGTACCTGATTGCCACAAATTCAAAATTGGGACAGAATTCCATTGTGGTCAAAATTCCCTGATTTTTAGCCCAGATTATCTTCTATAAGGGTGAAATCCTTGCACATTATGGTTCTATCCTTGACCAAAACCACTTTCTCCTACAGAGGGACCACCTGAGGCACTCTACATCTTCTCTTAAGTACTTCTACATGTGACTCTCTTTCTACTGTCTATGGTTTTCCCTCTTTCCTTCCCTTCCTGCTTTTCCTAGATTCATTCATCCTTCTCTTGATTTTCCCTCCTCTCTCTTGCTACCTTCTGCCTTTCTTTGCTAATTGGCCATAAGAACTGAAATCAGTTTCCATTTTTCATCATCCTAATAGAACAGGTTATTTTCTGTTTTAATTCTAAAAGTGAACAAGCAAAAAGTTTTAGGTTTCTCTCTTTTGAAAAAGCGACTGTGCTTTGTATTCAATGGCCCCGAGTTGCTTTTTTCTTTTTTCTGAGACAGGGACTTTCTATAGCAGTGGTTCTTAACCTTTCTTTTGTGTCATGGACTCCTTTGGCAGTTGAGTAAAGCCTATGGACCCCTTCTTAAAATGTTTTAAAATAACTGAAGGAAATATTAAATTTCAGTTAGAGGTTAACAAAAAAAGAGTTGTTTTTTTCCCTATTCAAGTTCATAGACCTAAAATATATTCACAGACCCCAAGTCTGTGCACCCCAAGTTAAGAACCCTGGCTCTATTTTTTTTTAATTTCCCAGCTTTGCCTAATCCGTTGAAATCTCCCACCAGCACGATTAAACCCCAATAGCTTGGTTTCTCTCTGCACTCCCCTATACCACTAAGTTTTGTTCCTGAAAGAAACTAGTTGGATGACAAACTGCAGAGTGCACAGAGCAGTAAAGATCTGGTAGTACAGAGTGACATGCAATTGACCTTTGGTCAAGACCTTTTATAAATAAAGAATGTGTGTGTGCAGAAAGAGAGATAAAGGCACCAGTAACTTGTGAAGGAGAAGGGCCAGATAAAAAGAGAGAAGCAAGGGGGCCAAGAAGACAGAGCTTGGAAGGGCTCTTACGGGGGAAGGAAAAAAGGGAGAAAAAGGGAGGGTGAGAGACTGAAAAAGCTATCTTTCCAGTACATTTCTCCTTCCTCTAATTATATTGTCATTGTTATTACTCATCAGGACAGCAGCAATACATTCTCTCTCCTGCCATGGATATGATCTTTGGCAAGAACACGAAGGAACAGCCAGAGCCTTTGAAAGCCAAAATCAGAGGTAAGAAGTGGTAGATATGGTGGAAAACTTGGGCTGTCTCAGATAGATGAAATCTTTGGGCAAACTGAGGATAAGGAAGTCTGAGGGAGACTGGGCTAGGTACATGCTTGCAAACTCATAAATGCATATAAACCTATACATATACTTGCATATATAAATACCTTTATTTATCCATATACATACTTTCACATATTTGTATATAATTCATACGCTCATACACATCTACTCATTCTTCTTGAAGGTGAATACCCCTTACTAGACTTCATGCTTTATTCCCTTCATCCTTTAGCCCAGCATTGGGCATAGTAGGCATTTAACTGATTGATGTATTGGGTTCAGTTCAGGCCTTTCTCTATGATCTCTCTGGTTGCTGCCACTTTTATTGTATGTCCCTTAGGCTGTTGGGGAAAGTAACTAATTCTAAATTACCAGACAGGTACCTAAGTAGGTCAGTGTCACTCAAACCTGTGAGGCAGCAGCATAATTATATCCAATGATGAGAATAGCTCGTGTATTGTCTTTGGCTGCAGAACATGAGTGAGACAGAGGGAGGTTTTGGCCCTCTGCATGTTGGCATGGTAGTAGCTGGCTTGGTTGTCATTACTGGAGATAGTGGTACCAGTGGTACCATAATGAAAGAAGGACTGGCTTGTAACTAGTGTTTAGAGATTGGAGAATCTTCTTTCAAAATAAGACCTGTCAAGGCTACCTATGTGATCTTGGGCAATAATCATAATAATAATATGCTAGGGTTTGCAAAATGCTTTACATTCCTTAAGCAATATGCTTTCCATTCAGTAGAGTTAAACTCAAACGGGAAGGGTCACATATTAACTTAGAAAAATATAAATTAACTTTATCTATGTTGTATTGTACTTTATTTTATTAAACATTTCCTAATTACATTTTAATCTGGTTCAGCTACAAAACGCTGTAGTTTTACCTGAGCATGCTTTACAAATATTATTTATTCCATCCTCACAACAACCATGTGACGTAGGTGCCATTATTATTCTCAGTTTATACATGATAAAACTGAGGCTGAGAGATGTTAAGTGACTTGTATAGGATCACATAGGTAATACTGACAGATTTTATTTTTAAATATGTCCAAGAAGATTCTAGTAAGTGCCAGAGGCAGGATTTGAACTCAGGTTTTCCTGACTCCAAGTCCATCATTCTTTTCACTCTGCCACCTGATTCCCAATCATCTAACATCTCTAGGCTTCAGTTTCATCATCTGTAAAGTGGAGGGGGCTGAACTAGATAACCTTTAAGTTTCTTTCTAGCTCTAATTCTATAATCCTATGATCTCTAACTAATTGATTATCTTTCAACAATAAGAATAGAGTGTGGTAATTGATAATCAAACCTTTTTTTATGCTTCTCACTAGAGGCATAAAAATTGTTTTAGAAAACCAACTTTGGGGTGCAACTTTGGGCTTACTTTTGATATGCTCACAGTCCCGAGTGAAAACCAGTATCCACCTATTAAACATTCATTTCTGGTGTTTTGGATTTTACACATTCGAGGCTGTATGACTTCTGTTCATGTTATACTTCCTTCAGTGGCTCAGTTCTAATATCAAAAATGAAAGTAAAATTTTTTTTCTGTCTCTAGGTGAGCTGCCAACTTGGCTTCATGGGACTCTCCTGCGGAACGGTCCTGGCATGCACACCATTGGGGAGACTACATATAATCATTGGTTTGATGGTTTGGCCTTGTTACATAGCTTTACCATTCAAAACGGTAAGACCAACAAATCATCTTGGAAGGTAGACATAGCTATTTACTTAAGAGTTTCTCTCTGAATAATTCAGTTTAATAAACACTTATTAATTACCTATTACATACAAATCACTGTGCTAAGTGCCTAAGATGCAAAGATGAAAAACAGCACAGTTCTTGACCTTCAAGGAATTTACCATTTAATGGTAGTGGTGGCAGGGTGAGGATATAACATGTATGAAGATTGGAAGAATACAAGGGACCCAGTGATGGGGACAAAGTCAGAAAAAATTATCTGGAAAAATTTGAAGAGAGAGAGAATCCTTTCACCTGGAGCTATGGGGAAGGCTTCTCATAGAAGATCACCTGAGGTTGATCTTAAAGGAAACGATGGATTTCATCAAGCAGAAATGCAGAGGGGAGTGCATTCCAGGAATGAGAGAGAAATTGCCCAAATGCAGAGAGGGAGATGGAATGTCAGAGTTCAGAAAATAGTCAGTTTAATCAGTTTGACTAGAATGCAGGTGTCAGAAAAGAAATAATGTGAAACAAGGTTGGAAAGGTGGGTTATAGCCAGATTGCAGAGAGCCTAAAATACCAGGCTAAGAAGTTTGTGTGTTATTCTAGAGATGATAATGACTCACCAATGGCTTTCGAACAAGGGAGTGACGTGGTCAGTCATGTGCATTATTGGGTTGTCTTCTCTCAATAGCCTGAAGGAGGTGAAGGGGAAAGTCAGCCTTCCCTCTGCAGCTGTGGACTTATGCCTTGTTTTTTGAGTTAGCTACATACAGCACAAGTACCTTTGGTCTTGGACAGCTGAAGCTCAGAATCAGATCTAGAAAGCTCTCACAAACTCATAGACTTATCAAGCTGAAAGAGACCTCAGAGGGCATTGGCCTAGAGTCCAATCTTCTTTGTAAAGAATGAATCACATCCACAAGAACCTGGACAGGTGTCCATCCAGTCACTGCTCGAACACATTACTCACTCTGGACAGCTTTATATAACTTCTTTCTTACCATTCCTGTCCTGACCCCTACCCAGGCTTCCCCTTAAGTCTTCTTTAGGATAAATATTCCTTTCTATTGGACTTTGAATTCTGGTTTTTTGGTTTGTTTGTTTGTTTGTTTAGGAAATTGAAGTTAAGTGATTTGTCCAGGGTCACACAGCTAGTAAGTGTTTGGTCTGAGGCTGGATTTGAACTCAGGTCCTCCTGATTTCAGGGCTGGTGCTCTACCCACTGCACCACCTAGCTGCCCCCTTTTTTTTTAAATAATATGCTTTGATCTTCATTCAGACTTTATCAGTTTTTTCTCTGGAGTTGGATAGCATTTTTCTTTTCTTTTTTTTTTCGGTGAGGTAATTGGTGTTAAGTGACTTGCCCAGAGTCACACAGCTAGTAAGTGTCAAGTGTCTGAGGCTGGATTTGAACTCAGGTCCTCCCAACTTCAAGGCCAGAGCTCTATCCACTGTGCCACCTAACTGCTGGACTTTGAATTCTGAAGGGAACATGGTCACGAGGGGAAAGTGACCACCAGCCAGAATAAAAGGAAAATTAATTTTTTATTCCTGGTCCTTAGCTTTCTCAAAGAAGCCTCTCTTTCTAGTGTGGGAGTCACAAGCTGATTTTAAAAATAGAAAAAACCCCAAAAAACAAAAACCCACTCTCTGGCTTAGGTGAAATGATTGTTTTCATTAACCCAAAGTTTGGCCAGAGACTGTGAAAGTAAATGCCATAACTTATTTGTTTATTCCTTACCCTTCAAAAGGCACACACTTAATTATGCTGAATAATGAGCAAGAGAGGAGAATGCAGGAGTCTCTTCTCTTTAATCTTGCTCTGTAATGTCAAGATGGACTGTGGCCCATCTGTGAGGAATTCCAGAGACATGTTTCCTCTGAGCCCTCAAGTTCACTGCACTCCCAGCTTAGTCATTTATAAGAAGTGGTTGGCATGTTTACAACCCAACTGGATTCTATGTTTACATTTTGGGACAAACTAAATTCATTTTTTGGAAAAAGACCAGATCAGAGGCCCGAGGTATCTAATGAACGTAGTATTGGCGGAAACTCTCAGTATGTATAGATGTTTCATTTTCTTTTTCATCTCTTAATGACTTTTATTTGTCAGGATCATCATTTTATGGAGCATAAATGACAAAAGTAAAATTACTTAATCCCATTTTATACCAAATTAAACCCTTAACATAACTTTCATCAGTAAAATCAAAGCACAAAGATATTACTCAGCAAAAGCTTCAAAGTAGATTTTATTTATACATTTGCTCACATGGCCATGAAATTGTTGACAGTCCTTTGGAGGCAGCTGTGGTGCAATGAAAAGAGCACTGGCTGTGGAGTCAGCTGACCTGGCTTTGAGTCCCAGATTTCCGTCTTTCTACCAGTGTGACTTTGGGCAAGTTAAAGACCCTCTCTTGGCTTCAGTTTCCTCATCTGTAAAATAAAGGGCTGGACCAGATGACCTCTAAGAACCAGTCTAGCTCAGAATCTTTTGTCCTATGAGCCTGTCCAGGTTTCCACATATATTTTTTCCTATGATATTTTTATTGGTATAATTTGTTTTTACACTATTTAAACATTTCCCTTTACCCTTCTCTCTGCCCCCTCAGACAGCTATTCCTTACAACAGAATTTTTTAACATTGAACTAAACCAATCAACATATGGGGAAAAATATGCTGTTACATGTGATATTTCAGGCCCATGTACCTCTACCTCTGCCAAGGAGCAAGGGAGAGGTATCCTTTCATCTCTTCTTTGGAGCCAAGATTACTTTTTTATACTTTTGAAACATGATTTGGTTTTGATATTTCAGTCACTATGTATGTTTCCCAGCCTTTGCTTACTTCACTTTGCATCTATTCATGTGAGTCTTTCCAAGCTACTCTGTGTATATCATATTCATCAATTCTTAAAGCATAGTAATATTCCATTAACACGATTTTGTTTAACCATTCCCTAACTGATGGACATCCACTTTGTTTCCAGTTATTTGCTATCACAAAAGTGCTGCTGTGAGTATTTTGGTGTACATGGAGCCTTTCTTTTTGTCAATGATCTCTCTAGATGGTATATGCTTTGCAGCAGTGATTTATATGTCTAAAGTAAAGACTTCATATGTCTAAAGGCTTAATGCCATTCATGGGGGATTTTGAAGGAATAGCATATATAGGTGCTTTGTAGAGCTCACTGGTCAAATTCACCAAGCAGCCAATGTCTTTTATAGTAATACTCTAAGGATTTCTGTCTATGGGAATATGTGTACTTGCCTAGGGAGACAGAAGCAAATTAAAGACAATCCTATAGGACAGAGATTGACTTCCCTAAATTTCAGCTTTGAAGGTCTGTAGATTTAGAGCTACAAGAGACCTTAAAGGTTATCTAGCCCAAACTCTTCATTTTACGGATGATCAAAGTAAATCCCAGAGCAATTAAGAGACATTCCTAAGGCCATATATGGTGTGTCCTAAAAGTCTTAGTGGTGATTTAAGTATTAATAGCTTAAAAGGGTATGAAGATTTTTGGGTCACCCTGTAAGGTAGTAAGCAGCAGGACTAGATTTTGAACCTTGGCCCTCTGATGTACAATCTAACATTCTTGACCCTGCTCCATAGTCTTTGAAAGGGGAAGGAAAGGAGGAAGAGAAAAACCATTTATATAGCACCAACTATGTGCCAGGTGTAATGCTAAGCACTTTAGAAATATCTCATTTGATCCACCCAACAACTCTGGAAGGTAGGTGTTGTTCTAACACCCATCATACAGCTGAGAAGACTAGGGCAAAAAGGGGTTTAATTGACTTGCTCAGGGTCATACAGTAAGTATCTAAGACTGGATTTGAATTCAGGTCTTCCTGACTAGGCTCTGTGCTCTATCCACTGTACCACCTAGTTGTCTATTACCTTTTTTTTTGGTAATGAAAAACTGAAAATTATCTGCAAAATGTAGCCCACCATAAATGTTTATCAAGAGATACAGAGGGGCTCACTCATTTTCAAAAGCAGAGTGATCCAAAATCTATGCCATTCCTTTACAAATATGACCTTTGTAAGAAATTTGATTGAGATTTCAAAACTGACATCTTTCCAAAACAAGATGAATAAATGAATAAAGCATTTATTAAGTTCTGACTATGTGCAAATCACTGTGATAAGCACTTGGTGATACAAACAGAAAAGTAAGACAGCTCCTGCTCTTTAGGAGTTTACATTCTTATGGGGAAGATGATACACAGGAAAGGTTTCAGCTGCAAGTTAGAAGGAAAGGTGCCAGGGTCCTCAGGCCACAAGAGCAAGGTACATGGTAATGCCTCTTCTATAATGTCATTTCCAGCTGATAAAATTACATCAGTTTCTGTTGCTTGAACCATTTGACCACACCAAGGCCTTTGGGGCAAGAGCTTGCTATTCTGGGCCTTTGGCACTTTGTAGCACCTGCAAGAGAAGTGGCCGGGCTGCATCTCTGTAGGGATTGCTTTCCAGGATGATAGCTGAGGGTATGGGGCTGGAACCATTGCTATTCTCAAGGCTCTTGAGTTCAGGATCCTGGGTTGTCTCCAACTCCATTAAGGGAGATGGTGGTCAATGTGGTGGTAGGGACTTGAGTTGCCTGGTACACGCTGCCTCTTGTCGCTTTCTCTCCAGGTGTCCTGCTGTTTCCCAGTGATATTTAGTTTAAGAACTAAAAGGCCAGCTTTTACAAGCCTATATTTCTCATGAATTTCTCAATTTAATTCAATTCAACAAAAACTTATTAAACATCCCTGTTCTTAGTTGTGAGGAAGAAACAATGTTCAGATAAGACATAGTCTCTGCCCTCACTGAGCTCATTAATTTTTTATCTAAAACAAGTTAATGTTTCTATTTCATGAGGTAAACTTTCAAATTGACATTATCTCACTGTTATCCAAATAATAAAATGATCCCTCTAATTAACCAAGGTGAGAGACATAGCTGATTGATATCTCTGATGTGTTGAATGCCAAGGTTCCAAGTTACA